TTGTATTTTTTTTAATTGGCTATGGTAAGTCTGTTTATATCAGTGTACCGATCCCTACACTTTGCCGTGGATGTGAACAATTAAGATTAAAACATTTTCCGGGGGATGCCTCTCCTTCTTCAAGACGGATGGTATCCATCCAAATAAACTGGGTAGCTGCATGCTAGCAGCAAATGCGCAGCAAGCTCTGCATTCATGTCCACATGACTGACTGTTTACCTTGCTCTACACACAATATTACCTCCCTCTTCCTCTGTAATGCCTCCGCAGAGGGCTGTTCACTGTGAGCAGTGAACAGTCACGTCATGGACACGTCATGGCCACATCTGCCAATCACCCTCCCCTGCTCTTCTCTGTCCACCAAGAACAGCCAAGTACCATCCACTGTCACTAGCTCTACAGTATATTCTGTCCATATCACAAACAGACTGTCTAACTCTCATTTCCATGTATTATCTAACCAGGCTGGAAACAGTATCCACAGAAAATCCACTTGGTGTAAAGTAAATAATTGAAATAATGTTGAACATTCCTCTTGGAATACCTCCATGTTGCACTTGGTTCCCACCCACATTATAACTGTTCTGTTCAATGTAAGGTGACTCAATGATAAGTAATTCATTTTCAATGACTATTATTTCAAAACTATCAACATTCTCCTGCTCACTGAAACTTGGTTAAAATGGGATGATTTCACATCATAAAATGATGCTCAAATAAAACAAAAACTATATGCATGTACAGATATTATTGGAGGTCAGTAACCCTTTTAATGAATGGAGACAGGTATGTCTGTAACCTTGATATCTCTTAAAGGTCCAGTGTATATGATTTAGGTGAAAGGGGTCTATCGGCAGAAATTGAATACAAAATAATCCTTGTGATGTTTTCACTGGTGTGTTTCATTTAAATTGAATGAATTGTTTTCTTTACTCTAGAATGGCCCTTTATATTTACATACTTTATATATTACTATATATATTACTTTGGGAGCTGAACCTTTCAATTCAGATAAAACTGAGGTTGTTATAATCGGCCCTAAACATCTCAGAGAATCACTGTCTGAACAGATAGTCACCTTGGATGATCAGTTAGGCCTCCAGCTCCACTGTGAGGAACCTTGGAGTTATGTTTGACCAGGACATGTCATTTGAACAACACATAAAACAAGTCTCTAGGACAGCTTTCTTCCACCTGCACAATATTAACAAAATTAGAAACATCCTGTCTCAGAAAGATGCTGAGAAACTAGTCCACACATGTGTTACCTCTAGACTAGATCACTGTGATTCTTTATTATCAGGATGCCCCAGGAAATCGGTAAGAAGCCTCCAGTTGTTCCAAAATGCTGCAGCAGAGTGCTGACAGGAAGTAGAAGGAGAGATCATATTACTCCTGTCKTAGCTTCTCTACATTGGCTCCCTGTAAAATTCAGAATAGAATTCAAAATCCTGCTCCTCACATGTAAAGCCCTCAACAATCAAGCCCCTTCATATATCAAAGAGCTCATAACACCATATCATCCAAATAGATCAGTTCATTCTCTTGTGGTTCCAAGAGTCAGTAAGAGTAGAACAGGAGGTAGAGCATTCAGCTACCAGGCTCCTCTCCTGTGGAACCAGCTCCCACTCTGGGTTCAGGAGGCAGACACCATCTCTGCATTTAAAGTTAAACTTAAAACGTTCCTCTTTGATAAAGCCTATAGTTAGTTCTGGATCAGGTGAGTCCTGAACCATCACTTAGTCATGCTGCTATAGGTCTACACTGCTGGGGGAACTCCCATCATGCACTGAGCACCTCTCCACTTCTCTCTGTCTCTCTGCCCCCCCACATTCATTCATTTAKTTATTTTAATACATGTCAATGACTGTTTCACTTTGTACTCCCATAGTCTCTCTCTCTCTCTTTTTCTCTCTCATGTCAGATATCTCTGACCCCAGAACCTGTGCCTGTTATCAATAATAATTAATAACTTATTTACACTGTTGTTTACATTTTAACTGGTCAGATCTGATACATGATGGTGCTCAAGTTTCCCCGGTCTTTCTCCCCTACTTCCCCCTCCCCACTATCTCTCTCTTCTCTCCCCTCTTTTCCACCCATCTCTCCTTCCCCCGTTTTCTTTGCTCACCCCAACTGGTCGAGGCAGATGACCGTCCACACTGAGTCTGGTTCTTCTAGAGGTTTCTTCCTGTTAATGAGAAGAGTTTTTCCTCCACAAAGTGCTGCTCATTGTGGGAACTGTTGGGTTTTTCTATATTTTGATTTTAAGGTCCTGACCTTCTATGTAAAGTGCCTTGAGATAATGTATATTATGATTTGGTGCTATACAAATAAAATTGAAATGAATTGAATTGTTTGGCACACTTCAACTTTTCCAGTTGAAATCTCTAATGTTGAGCTGACAAATCTACGAAGGGCTTTGGATTATGGCATAAATTAAAATCAGCTCTCTATAACAAGACCTTTTTTTTAACTTCATTGTGGAGCATGAAATTTACACATAGGGCATAATGATGGCAATTCTATATTGCTCATATTGAAGAATGCTGATATTGACCAATTCACATTGTTCACAGTAATATTTAACTGAGACAGAAGCGAAGGACGCAGAGAGACAGCTGAGGACAAAAAAAATGGAAATTAAGTGGATTTTTCTGACAGCTTTTCTCTCATTACAAAGCTTTTCACACTAGACATTCTGAACAGTAACATTAAGATAAGCAGGGCTTTAACTAATGATATATAATTACAATATTATTATTATTATTATACAATGAATGCTCATACTGAATTTATAGAACTAGTGTAGTGTCCAATCTGAACATGCCTGTATGGATTTGGTTGTTCTCTTGGCCTGTGTTAATGAGCTATATGAGTGATGATATGAGTTGATATGAGTGATTTTTAGAAAACTTTCTGTCCATCCTACTCGGTTTATCTATGGTGAAAATGTTATAGTCAATGTATTTCATAACTTCTTCACTGACAGCTACTGATCACTGGTTGTCTTGTTTTTCTCATAATGTATATATATTGGATGTATAATGTGTCCAAATTGCCCCAACCTCAGAACTGCACCTCCCTTGGCCATTATCAATAGACATGCAAAGTGTGAAGCCGATAAGAAGAAAGGTTCACCGGACATGCATTCCACATACAGACAGACAGAGACATACAGTAGTAGCTAGACAATGGACTTCTTTAGAATTAAAGCATTGTATCTTTTTTTGAATAAATTCTGTTCATTTGTTCAAAGGACAATTGTGTGGAATTTTGGTGGCATCTAGTGGTGAGGTTTTATACTGTATATTTCATATTGCAATCCCACATAGTTGTAAGAAATACATATTTTCTATATGGTGATAACTTGAGGGTCAACAATAACAACATGGTAACTACATGTATACTGTGACTTTTAGTAATAATGACATTATCTTCAGCTTAATTAAGATTTTCTCCTCTTGTTTGAAACTCAACCAATAGCTAAATGAAAAGACATTTCCTACTGCACCATATTATCGTCACTATTAAGGCATGATGTCTCGGTAGCTCTAGGGCTAGTGTGGGGATTTACTAACATTGCTGTTGTTTCCTAAGAACCAGATACGAAAATCACATGGAGGACTACTGGTGAGGTGTTCGTTGCTCATCTGCATGTAAATACAGCTGGTATAATTAATACTAAATACTAAAAAGATTAATATATATAATAGCAGCAATAGTACAATATCAAGATCAAAAATATTATAATGGTATAATAGAATAATAGTTAAGTAATATTAAAACCATAATCTAAATGTAATATCTGTATTTGAAAATTATTTGCACACATGATCTATATTATTATGGGAACCTGGAGGCCTGGAGGGAAAAGCTGTCGCAGAGCATTGTTATTCTGGTTCTGCTACTAACAGCCTGTGGGAGGGGTCCGTCAAGATGCAAGAGTCTCTGTAGACCAGGGGTCACCAACATGGTGTCCACGGGCACCAGGTAGCCCCAAAGGACCACATGAGTCGCCCGCAGGCCTGTTCTAAAAATAACACAACTCACCAGTGAGCTGCGTCTAAAATTTGATATGCGTTTCTAATTAAATTGAATTTTTTATTTTTTATACTGCCAAATTTTTATTCCCATATTGAAGTTGACTATTGACTATGATTTGTTAAAAGGGTTTGTCAGTGGCTAGTGAAAATGGGACATTTTTCTTATGATATATTGTAGAAGTGATCGTCTGAAAATGTAAACAATTGCTGAGATTAATAGAAATAAAGTGTTGAATATTGACATCATCTGTTTCCCACCTTGATAAGTCATTATTGATAATTATTGTGAGAAATCATTAACGTGATCAGTGTCTTCACCTAGACGAGAATCATTTATCATTAATAATGATATATAACTAAAGGCAAACTGAGCAAATTATTTCAGAAGAGTGGATCAAGCTGGTAGCCCTTGGTTTGACTCAGTACCCATGAAGTAGCTCTCAGTTTCAAGAAGGTTGGTGACCCTTGCTGTAGACACAGTGTGGGACAGATGACCTGGATGGAGGTTATCTCAGCTGTTTCTGAGGCACACAGTGGTGCAGCCGTCCAGGAGGATGATACACACATGTCAAAATACAGAGGTTGAGTTTACTGTAATATGAGTTAAGTCGTACATCCATGACCTGTAATATGCAAAGTAAACGACAGGTGGCGGCAAAGCGGCAAACTGCTCTCCAGTCCACCAGAAGAAGAAAGATGATCGTCGACACTGAAGTTCGCTTCCGATTCGACAGTTAAGAGGAAAAAAGGAACTCCGTTTTACCGATGAGAGAACGTGTGAGACATTTGAGTTTGAGCTTCACTGTCTGAAATGCGTTAAATAAAATAAAAGCTCACATGTTTGTGGTGAAACCTCGTGTAGAGAAATCTCATCAGACCAGGTTCAGATTAAAACCACTTCACTCTTCTTCTCTGGGACAATGTGCTCCAGGTCTGAGGAGAATCTGTGGGATGGGTTTTTTAACTGGACCTGGTCCGATGTGATCCGGTCTCACAACGTTTCATCCAATTCATTCATTTTTCCAACACACGAGCTCAGCTCCCCTTCACTTTCCCTTTAACTCTCGAATTGGAAGCTAACTTCAGCGAGGCGAAGGATCGTCGTCGTTGTTTTGATCGCTGGGAGAAGAGAGAAGATACAGACTGTGCGGTTTGAATAAACAGGTACGTTGTTGTATCAGAGTGATTAGAGAGGGAGTGCACAGAGGTGTGTGCCTCTGATCCAGAAACAAACCGTCTGAGTGGAGGAACGACACGGATGTGTGGTTGTAATGTTGTAATAGCTGGTTCATAGATATCGACACACCCTCTTGTTTTCGCTACGGATGAGGTGGATGTGAATGTTGATCATGCATAGAGCTTTGAATAAAAAGGTTCCATAGTGTGCAGCTACTATCATATCTCTTCTGTACCGGAGATTGTATATATACTGTATATACGAAGGATAGAGGTGCAAGAGTGATCACCACTGACACGTCGAGGTAATGTAATTTGAGGTTCTGTCTCTTGCCCCGGGACACACATGCGAAGTGCAGGAGCTAGGATTCAAACGCCAACCTTTCGATTAGTGGATGACCCACTCTTTCTCCTGAGCCGAAAACAACAAATCAACCTGCAGAAAGCCCACTGGGTCTGTTCCTTGTCTGATCTCTTGAAATGTCTATCTACAATCTGTGCAACAGATCACAGACTGTTTGCATGCACCCAACAGCAGTGAGCAGAAACACACTCAAGAATGTTGGAGAGGTTTTGCAGTGGTGGTTGGTCACATATATATATATATATATTTGTTTTCTAGATCAGTCAGCATGACAACCAAGCGTGGACTGATAACTGACTCATTCAAGGTGGTGAAGAAAGCAAGGAGGGCGAGCAAACGAGAGAAGAGAGCCAGTCCTCCCCCAGCACAGAAAGGTGAGGAGCAGCCCAAGTGTCATCGCGTGTGATCCTCATGTGTTCTGTGTATGCTCATCATCTCTATTCAGTGAAACAGGGGCCAGTGTTCACAATGTCAAAGTTACCTGTCCGACTCAATCAGCACCTACAGCTTGTGTAAAAGGCTAAAATATAGTTTTTTATTTTTATCAGTGGAAGGGTGTGTTAAAAGGTTGTGTGATACCTACCTGTATGAATATGTTTCCTACAAATGAAACATGTCATAGTAAATGAAATAGACTGTGAAGGCAGCGTTTTCTTATATCAGTACATTATTTTGTGAGTGGAGTTATTGCATTTCATTGTTATTATTTTACTTTTAAATCTAACTCTGTTCAGGTTGATCTCAGTGTTTGATTTATGTTACATGAGTCATATCTAATAATGATTTAATTCTTTTTGATGGAGCAGAAGCTGAAGCAGAAACAGTCAGAGAGAAGGAGCTGCAGAAGCTCAAACAGTTTGATCTGGACTGGAGGTTTGGGCCCTGCACAGGTAACACACACACAAACACACACACATTGTACTGGAGAATTGCTGTGATATGTAAATAGGGTGTTAACAAAAATATTTTTCACTGTTTTGAATTAGTGTGCAGGTGTAGACACTAGATTATCTCAGCATTTCTCTGTGTCCGCAACTGTCTTGTTCGTGCTTCAGTGATGTGTATACTTAACTAACTTACATATCATGTCGATCTATATTGCAGATTTATTTCTACTAATACTTTTACTTTTTACTTTTGTCTTCTTGTTTAATTTGATGTATTTCGATTACCTGCTTTTTCATGGCTTGCTCAGGAGCTCTGTGACGTTTGGATTTCCCCCTGGGGATTAATAAAGTATTTCTCATTCTGATATTCCAAATAGGAATAGTTTTTCATTACTTTTGCCAAAGAGGTTATGTTTTCATGAATGCAAAAACTACTGAATCGATTCCCATTAAATTTTGTGGAGGCGTGGCTCATGATCCAGGGAAAACCCCATTACACTTTGGTACAGATCTGGACCAGAGGGCGCATCCCAGGAGTTATTTTTCACTTTCTTTTATATAGTAATTTCGGTGTTTTTCAACATTCCCATTGATTTCCCAGAGAATAATTCATGGATCTTAATGGAAAAAATTGGTCATGCATAAGGGACTGAAATGTATTATTATGAGTGTGGGAAATTTGGTGCGGATCCAAATAAAAATCTAAATGTGGTTTAATAGGAGGACTGTTGAGCCGGAGGTATGTACTCTGCCAAGTGACATTCAACTTTTTGATATGTAAAAGAAATATGATTGAAATGGCAAGCAGATATAACCAGTAGAGTTTTACTGCAAGGGCTGCATGGGAGGCACACTGGCACAGTTGTCTGGGATTGAAGTCCAGTTTCTGTGTAGAGTTTACATGATCTCCCTCAACGTTTCCTGTTGCACTGATGCAGATTGTCCTTTTTTCTCAAGCATGTCTCTGTAAACTAGGCACATGGAATATGTAAAATGTACATTTCCAGTATCAAACAGTATGTAGAGAGATATTTTAGATGTAATATTTTCAGATTTTATTCACACTGGATTCAATGATTATGTGTTATATGAAATATGGCACTCATTGTAATGAAACCACAATTCTAATCAGGTCTGCAGTTCCCCTCAGCTCTGTGGAGCAACTTGTAGCTTTTTGCTTTGATGGTTTGGCTCATAACTTTACTGCAGGATTCAGTCTTACTGATGTTCTGTAGCTTGTTTCCAGCCTCAACTGTTAGCTACCTGCCCAATTCAGTCACATTATTGTGCTGAAGCCACATTCCCCAGGTGGCCAGAAAAACAACTGCACATGAATGCTAATGCTGCTGTATCTGTTGGATGTAACTGGAAACTGGAAAATGTTCATCTTGTCAACCTCGTCAATGTTAATATGACAGAAGTTGTGTTGTGCAGCTTGTTTTGCTGCCATAAAGTGACCAAAAGATATTTCTTAATACAGCTTTAATTATGTCAATCATGCACCTATCATCTTACTCTGCTCCAGGCTGTAAAATGTTCTTGCTTGATGGGTACATCTGTGATACATTTTCTCCTCTCCTCAGAGAAAATCTGCAAATAAAGAGTTTTAATCCTGGAACAAGGAAGATCAGCTACAAGATTAATCTTGACCATAAAACATTTGATTCAGAGCAAAATAAATATTGGGAAACAGAAAAGGTCACAGGTTCAATTATTTTAAGAGTGTTGTTATATATTGTAGTTTGTGCCTTGTATGTTTGTATATAGTCTTTCAGTGGTGTATAGTGTAGTAACCTATAGTAACCTAGTCTAGTAACGCTAATTGATCTGATGTAGCCGAACAGAGCCAATTTAAGCTTTCATGATTTTCAAAGTTGTGGTAAACATTACCAAGGTAACAGCAAGCTCCACCATTCAGAGATGACGCTAGAATTGTCGGTGGTGTAGAACTTCGTGCAAACATGTATTTGTGTTCTCTGTTGATATCATCTCTTTTTACAAAGTTTAGTCACTGCAAAAAAAGGGTTTAATCACTCAAAACACTAAATCATTTATTGTAACATCTCTTCATCTCTTCCTCTCTCCAGGTATCGGCAGGCTGCAGAGATGGGAGAGAGCAGAGTGCCATGGTCTGAACCCACCTGAGGAGATCAGAGACCTGCTGCTGCAGACAGACACTGACCCCGAGTATAACCAGAGGTAACACACATAAAAACATACAGACACACGCACACACACATGCACAACTGACAATAATCTGATTCCTTAAATACATGTTAACTACAATGACACTTTTCTGAGAAACTAGTCCAGTGTCCCTTCTAAACTTGCCTGTTGTCTTGTCCTGTGTTAATGCTCTGAAGCTACTTCAGCATTATTCCTTATCAGTTGTAAGTCCTCGTCAAGCAGCTCTACAATGAACTGTCAGTTTGTATTGGTTGTGTGCTGTATGTTGTGTGCAGAGCTTTTTATAAACAATCTATGGTGCAGATTTAAGTTAGAAAACTTTTACAGTCAGTGTTTTGATACAATTTTACTGAATTTTCCATATTACTGTTCATGTGAAGTTTCAATAATTTACTTAACTGCTGTTATTTCTTTTCATACATTATATGACTATTTCAGAGTTTTCTTAAGCAACCCACACAATCTTCAGACCCAAGTTCACAACTTATAAAATAATTATAATTATAATGAAATTAATGTTATGCTTCACTTTGAAGACAACTTGCCCAACAGGAAGTGATTTGCAGAAAAATGTTGCCATGACAAAGATCAGCACCTGATGCATATCTGTGTCTCAGAAGTCCTGATAATTGTCAAAATTATCTGGAGGTGATTTTGATCCCCAGTTTGACTCAATCGCTGACCGCTGCTGTAGTTTATCGGACAGGAACAGCACCCTGGTTGCCTGTTTACTGATTTTTTATTGATATTGAAGGTATCACATGTCAAAATTGTTCCGAAGTCAACACTGCACTTTCTTGGGCAATTTACAATACACATGCCAATTATGTGAATGGTTCAGGAAGTATGTACTCCACTTACAGACATAAAGACAGACGTATTTGGAATTAGTTGGTAGATTACACAGCAGCTGATTTGGTTCTGGGCACCTTTGTGTAAAAGTGCATAAGTATTAAGGACCAAAATATACTGATTTATTGTGAATGCAATCCATACGTGTTATTAACACAGCATATCAAGGACCACTTCATAAACACATCATGTTGTTTGAAAGGATTGACATCAGTTATAGTATTTATAATCAGTGAAGCACTGACTCATTAGAAATTAGCTTCCATTGTTGAAGTTGTGGTTTGCTCTTTAGAGATAATGTTAAATAATGATAATGTTTCAAACAATATTCTGTGTACCTTGTCTTTCAGCCTATGGAGTGAGTATCCTTTGTAAGGAAGTCATCCAGAGGAGAGAAAGCCGACTCCAACGAAAGTTAAATCAAGTTTGTTTCTATGTAGGCATTTTGAATGATAGTGTCTGAGGGCTTTGCATTACGTACAGCCCTGACCCTGTATCCTTAGGCTCTTTAAAACTCCAGATAAGAAATATGAGAGTGAAACCATGGCAACTGAAGAAGATCCTTCTTTCAGCATGGAGAACATCTGGATGTGCTTTTTTGCAGTTAAAATGTTGTCTTCTAAACACTAAGTTTTGTAAACATTTTAATAAAAAATCTACCAAAACACTGTCTTGTTCTGTCTTGTAATGTTAGCTCACTACTGACAGGGAACAGTAGTGAGAAAGTATTTTTGCTCCCTTATTATAGATGGCTCGTGGTCTGCACACTGACATACATTTTATTCACTCTTTTTTTATAACTGACCCACTCACACAGTCTTTACGCTCAACTTCTCCAGATGCATGAGGGAGAGAACGAGTGAGTGGGTTTGTTCACAGTGATACTGACACAAGCAAACGATGGAAAGACTTCAGCTCACAAAGTATTCCTGAAAGGTCTGGGTTAGCATTGAAGCTATGGCAATGAAGACTTGGATTATTCTCTGCACTTTCTTAATTTGTGGGTATCCCCTTTATATCAGAAAATGAAGAACATTTCCATAATTTCTATTGCGATATATATGTGTGTGTGTGTGAGAGTGTTAAAGGTTCAGTGTGTAAGATTTAGGTGAAACAGATCTATTGGCAGAAATGGAAGGTAAAATAATCCCTGTGATGTTTTCCGTGGTGGGTTTCATCTAAATTGTATGAATTGTAGTTTTCTCTACCACAGAATGAGCTCTTTATATTTAAATACTCTATACTAACATGGAGGGGGTTCTCTCTGTGGAGGTCGCTATGTTTTTTATTGTCCTCCACACTGGACAAACTACAATCTTTTGAGTTTTCATGACAACTGAAGTTCACCACAGGTTCTGTTTCATGTTGGGAAGGGGAGGGTGAAATGAGGAGTATCCAGCTGCAACATGCAACTTCACCTCTAGAGGTCACTAAATTCTACACACTGAACCTTTAAGTGGTCTATTTGTATATTTTCCTCGTTATTACTTATGGGAAGTGCAGTATAAATTCACGTATTGTGTTGGGTGCACAAATTATTTTGACAAAGATATGAAGAATTGCAACTCAGACAGATAATCTTTTTTAATATGTCATTGGACAAGTTTTGAGTTATAAATTCTATGAACATCATGACACCAGAAAACTGAACAGTTGCCACTGCACTTCCTGGCTGCTCAGACACACAGCTGAGCCGGAGACAGAAATCTGCAGGTTTATGATGACAGTGATGAATTAACTGACTGGACAACAATATGCTTGTATTAGAACGTATGAGCCCGCCTCCAGCTTCGTTCAATTGGTTTGCATTTTCGTCTGTCATCCTTAGCTCATCGCCGATTGGCTCGCATCTCGCTCAGTTGAGCAGCAGCAGACGCACCTCGCGCTGATTGAGCAAGAGCTCGGTGTGGGAGGCGGGGCGCTGTGTAGTAAACCTCCTAGCGGGTGGGACTTTAGTGACTCCTACGCGCTGATTCGTCAATGCCTTGCGTCAGTCGGAGTCCTGGGCCGCTCATTGGATCATTCTCAGCTCCGTAGGGTTTTCCTGTGGCAGATACTGTTAATCGTGTTCAATACGGAACAGGCGTGTCAAGGTAGACGGACTCACCACGATCACACCACAAGAGAGATCTTTTTCAAAATAAAAGCCTACATCTGTCAAACTAATACCGCTGACAGTTACCTGTTGGTTATTCATTACTTAAGCAATCTTCCACAAACATCTTTGAAAGTCAAGATATAGTAAATGTTAATGCTCTCATGGCTGTAGCGTTTCTTAAGAAGCGGTCTTTATTTTAGGAGCGGAAGTGTACGCGTTTAGTTTTGGTGTAACTTGACGTGACTGGGTGCAGTATCCTGTATTGCTGACCCTCAGTCACTCCTACAGCAGGAGGAGGATGAACCAGTGTGGATGAACTAGTCTCCGACAGAAACATTTGCCTTCAGACAGCCTTCATTTTTATTTTCCTCTTACCACACATTTTTTTTGTGTGTGTCTCTCTGAAATCCTAGCGTTTCAGTGGAAATGTCGCCCTGGTGATTTTTCACTTGCATGTCATTGTGTAACTCCTGTAAAAAAAAAAAAAAAAGAGTATCAGACTACTATATTTTCCATCATTTTCTTGTGATTGCTGCGAGTCGGGCTCCTCCAGACGCATGTCGCTGTGATTCATCCTGACGGGAGAACATATAGTGGACCGACGACACACGGGCTAACCCACCGGTAAGCAACCTGTTTATCTCCGGAGGATTAACACTATAACATAACGCTAGCTGCTAGCTAGTCCCCTACTGAGACACCACGTAGCCCACCAGCTAACTGCTAGCTTACGGCACCAAGGCTGTATCCCGTTATTATTTTTCACCTGTCGTTTGACATGCGGCTCGCCGTGTTCCTGGACACGAGCAGCCATATGTAATGTCCAGCTCATCGGTCCTGAGCAACATGTCTCTGAGTGTCCGCCGCTGTCATCTCTGTGTCCCCGGCTTCAGGCGAGGCTATTGAATGATATGGAAGAACTGAGAGATCTTAGGTTTAATAACGTGGAGCATATGGCCATCATTAAAACACTGTGTGGAGTGCTGCGGCTGGTCAGCACTTGTGTTTTGCAGATGCCCCGGCATCATTGAGTTCAGGGCGAGTCTGAACACAGGCCTCCCTCATATGACCTCATATAGTGAGGAATCAATGTATAATAAGTTGTATTTATCCATCCCAGGCTGCTCGGCCACAGAGGGAGCTTCCATCCTTTTGCATTATGTAGCATCTTGTTGTTTGTATGAGGCCTAAGGTTCTTTTAGAGAGACCTGTCATTGTGGAGAAGGGCGTGAAATTGTCTGATTCTTTAATGGAGTTACGGGCCAAGCGGAGAAGCACAACATGAAACACACAGAGATGTTTTTTCAGAGCCAGCTCACACCCTGTGGATAGTAAGTCATGTCTCTTGGGGATGCTTGGTTGCTTGGTTATACAGTGCTATATCAGATCCCCAGCTAAATAGTAATGTGGGTGTGTGTAATTAGCTTGTTACCTTTCAAACGTTAATAATACTGAAATACTGCCTTTTATTGAAAACCATATTGGTCCCAGTCAGTGTGCTCCATCCGAGATATGACAACTTGGATGACTAGGAAATCCATATTTTCATAAATACGTTAATGAAAGTCATGAAAACAGCACAATCGAAAAAGGTTTTGCATACAAACAACCCAAACCAGTTCAGGCAAATGTCCACCCAGAGGTTCCTTCCTGTTGAAAAGGAGTTTTCTCTCCATAGTCATTGTCAAGTCTTTGCTGGTTGTGGGAACTGTCAGGTTTCTCTGTAATAAAGTAATGTCTCAAGCTTACTATGTAAAGTGCCTTGAGATTATGGCCAGCGTTTTGTTATTTGGCACTACACTAAAGAAATTGAATTGATTTGGATTGAACATAGCAACAAAATAGTTGCTGTCTGCACTTTTAGCCCAAAATATAATTGAGGCCATTTTACCGCAGTTTCACTGAGTCTGAACTTGACGTCTGTGCAATTTTTTGTATCGAAGAATGTTTTTGTTGATGGTGCCTTGACCTCTCTCTTCTCCCTCCATAGTGATGGATAATGCTCATACTAAGACAGTGGAGGAGGTTCTGGGCTTCTTAAATGTAAATGAGTCCACAGGTTTGAGCTGTGAGCAGCTGAAGAAGAACAGGGAGAAATGGGGGACCAACGGTATGTTTGGTTTTACTTCCTGTTGTTCAGAACACTAAAACTGCATCTCATCCCTCTTGTGGTTGTTAAAAGGATGATCATCAAACCACTGCAGTTGTTACTACTACTGTCTGTCATATTAATAGTGGTAACCATGATTTTTACAAATGTATAAATCAGTGATCAAGTGATTGGGATAATAAAATGATTGCTGTGCACTATCATTTATAAAACACATGAACAATGTATCAGTGGTGATGTTGTTTTTTTTTCTTTTTCTCCATCATCTCTCCTTTCTATCTCCATGTAACCCGTTCTGCACTAACAGAACTACCAGCTGAAGAAGGTGAGCTGTCTGTCTGTCTGTCTCTGTTTATCCGTCAGTCTGTTTATTTGTCTCAGTCTGTCTTTCCATCTTTCTGCTCCTCATGTCTTGTCTTGTCCCTGTGCAGGTAAATCTCTTTGGGAGCTTGTCCTGGAACAGTTTGAGGATCTGTTGGTTCGAATCCTGCTGCTGGCTGCGTGCATTTCCTTTGTAAGAAAACACAACTGTATGCACAACCACAGGCAAACACATACGCAATACTTACACAAGAAAATTGCAATCCTTCCTACGTAGTATGTATGAATTGTTTAATTCACGTACATTTTATTTGTGTAACTTCAAACTACGAATTTGCTTCTAATGGCTTATAGATTTTATAGAGCAACATATCAGTTTAACCCTGTGACATGTACACTATTCATGTTGAATTAGTGCAAGTAACACAACATCACAATGCACACAAATCACCAGCTGTCTCTGTTTTTTTCTTTTGTGTCTTATAGACTCTGGCTTGGTTCGAAGAAGGGGAGGGAACAATCACTGCCTTTGTTGAACCTTTTGTCATCCTCCTCATCCTCATTGCAAATGCTATTGTAGGAGTCTGGCAGGTAAATTGTTGGTGTGTGTGTGTTTTATGGATTAACAGTAATAAAATATGTTGGTGACTGAGGAGTCAATTTCTGAGACTCCCTCCCACTTGCGACTGTGATGTAACATGACGTATTTTAAACTCTGCATGCTTCACAGGGGGTGCCCTACCCACCAGCTACAACTTGATGAAGGGAGTCCAAAATCATTCCAGTTTGTTTAGATTATATTCAATTTGATTCAAAGGTTGATGATTCAGTTGAATCTGATAAATATTGATGTTGCTTAACACATTTCACTTAATTTTTTCTGGGAACTGAAAGTTCTTCTTTATTATCTAAACAAAAACAGTATCAAGTGCAAATTATAGGCTATATAAAAGACAACTTCCGAAACTATAAAAAAGATTTGTTTTCCTTGTGTACTGCAAAATGGCAAGAGTAGGTCATCGTTTGGGTATGGGCTCCTGGTTTTGTCTTGACCCATTTACCTGTTCAGAATGAACCCAATTTGTGTCACGTTCACTCACATACGTGTTTGGCTGGCCCTGCTAACAGTTAACAGCTCTCAGTACATCTGTTCACACCTGATGCGTCTGCAGGGACCACTTGTGATCAGATCTCACCTCTCTGCTCTATACGCAAATGCACACGTACATCATTTCTTTTCACAAAGACCAATTATGTTGTTTTTAGATAACAAAGATATGTGCATTGTCAATGTCTTTGTGTCGGTGAGAGAGTGAGTGCAGGGACAGTAGGGGCTTAATGATTCAATGTTTGCAGATTTACAATGAAAAAGATTTCAGTATGTTACATTGTGGATGTGGCCACAAATAAATTGATGTATGTGAAAGATACTTAGGATAAATGTAAAAATATTTTCAGTCTATTATGAACCTGTAGCAGGTCACCTGATTTGGCCGTCCTTCAATTTGGCTCTTATGTGTTTACACAACAGCAGAAATTAATTGTGTTTTGCATCTACAGTCTCTGAATTAAGAGAAGGCCTTTGTCTAATCCCACACATGGGTGGAACAGCAGGATGACTTCATTAATGAATGAAATCTCTGGACACAGTGACAGGATCGCTCTGATCTAACAGTAAATATTGTCCCAAGCTTTTCTAAACACAAGACTGGAAAGCTTTCACTGTTAGATTCCAAGTAAACAGCAAAGTCGTCTGAAGTAAGGCAGCTGCTCTCACAATGAGTCCTCGGCTCCATTAGACTTCTCAGTTATTTTCAGTTTTATTAAACATAAACTTAAAATGTGATTATAACAGGGAATTCTCCGTTTTGTCATTTTTCCATATGTTTAATACACGGAGGACATTATTTGGGCACACAACAAGATGTGATCTTCATAATTTGGATTATGTTCACTATTTTTCTTCAGCTCGATCTCTCTCTTTTACTCACTGCTGGCTTTGCTTGGATTGCCTTATTCATTTAGTTAGAAGGTCGGCGGTTTGATCCTAGTCTTCCCCATCTGCATGGCGAAGTGTCCTTGGTCAAAATACTGAACCCTAAATTGCCCCTCATAGAAAAAGTGCGTTCCATACTTCCAAACCCATTCAATGTGTGTGTGAACGGTTGAATGACAATAAAACTGTACTGTAAAGCCCTTTGAGTGGTTATCAAGACCAGAAAAGCTCTATATAAATACAGACAATTTACCATTTGTGCCTGAAACATTTTGCATGCATCTGCATCTGTGTCCTGTTTCAGGAAAATAGAACCTGATATCTCTTCAATATATTTTAACAGAGCTTTCAGTGTGTGGTATGTTTCCTCACTCTTTTCTTCTCATCCAGTAACCACTGCACACTAAATATCTGGTGCAAATATATATGTGTTCACAAACAAAGATCGATCTTGTGATGGCAAGAATGATTGTTGGATCATTAAAGTAAAATTTGTTGCAATCAATCTTTTTTTTTTTTTTTAAATCCAGGGCTGCTTCTAACATGATGGTTAATTGATGTTGCTGATTTTTATATAAACGTCATGATGACTGAGAAGAATCAGCAGGAGTCATGTTGCTCCATGGCAGAAGTTAAACATATAGATATTTGCTTCCCTAACTTATGAAATATATAGAAAACTACGATGATGATCTTCATATATAGTCTGTAGATCTCCACCTCTGTGGAACAAATGGTACTGTACCTCAGCTGAAGAGAACTGAGACACCACTCAGCTCAGTGGAGAAGCAGTTTCAGTCAAATGTTCATTTTGTTAGTACACTGACCTGGACTTCAGTGGTGCCTGTGGCTTTGAGGTATAGTTGTCCTTACTGTGTCTTTCCTATGTTGTTGGGTCCCCCAGGAGCGTAATGCGGAGAATGCCATCGAGGCTCTTAAGGAGTACGAGCCAGAGATGGGCAAGGTGTATCGACAGGACAAGAAAAGTGTCCAGAGAGTCAGAGCACGAGACATTGTCCCTGGAGACATTGTGGAAGTTGCAGGTACGCAGACAAATATATGTATCATCCTCATGATATTATTATATTATTATTTGAGCCTGAGACACGATAGAATGTGCAGTTTTTATTATTTCACCTTACAATCCTTTTAAATTGAGTCTCCATTAAACAACTCGTTAGTGTCAAATACTCATCTGACTCTGATGTTATGTACTGTACATGCATCCTCTGAAATGTGTGAATTCAGGTAATCTTTTTTGCAGTTTTGACTTCTGCGACCTATTCTGATATCTGTTTTACACATTAGATCAACCTATAATACATTTCTGCAAACCCTAAGATGTTTTCTAACCACACCAGTAGAAATAATGGAGATATCATACTCAGAGGAGACATGACATAGCTTTTAGAAAATTTGATAATCTGGGACAGGTCACGCGGTAATCTGGGACACTTTAAAAAAACCTATATCACATTGCTTTATGCATCTAAGGCTTGTGAGGGATCCCTCTCCCAGGACAGACAGAAGGGCAATAGATGCTGCATGTACCAGAGCATAAAGTAACAATATTTACAACATTCATGAAAAAAGAGTGTTTCACATAAATGGAGAGGTGTGTCAGTGTTTAAAAGTTTTTAAGAAAATGTCTGACAGAGACGAAGGGAGCAGTAATGGCAATTGTAGTGATAGAGGTCTTGTCAATAATAGTATGCACATTGAAAGCAATCTAGTCGTAATGTATTTTCTGTTACAGTAATCAGAACTGACTGCCACCGTTGAGCTACCACTTTAGCCTGGTGAAGAGTCATCTCTTAGTATCCAGTCATGGCAGTTAGTTGAGTGAAGGTTTTGACTTTTAAGGCAAACACAGCAGCAGTTTCCAGAGTCCAGGTCCAGTTTAGATAACATGCAGACAAGTAGGTGTCTAAACATTTCGGTGTTTTAATGTTCACAACAAAGAGGTCAACCACAAACGGTGAGCGGCGATCTGACGCTGAATTTTTGTGGAAAAGCGGGTCTTTATATACTGCAGCAGGTATCGGAGTTGATCAGGTGGTGAAGCTCAGGTGTTAAGAGTTCGAGTTTCCAGAGTTTTCATGCCACCCCAAGTTTACAAAGCCATGTTTATATATCTGAGGTACTGTATATTAGCAATTGTATTATAGTGTCACAGACAAGCATTTCAAGCACAGTGCTTTTCCACTGCACAGTTGTTTAAACATGGAGACAGACAGAACTGAAATGGTGGCATTTTTGTTTAGTCATTCCTGGCAAACACCATAATGTGCATGCCTGTAGCTACATCCCTGCCCTCCCCTCTGACGGCTGTCGTAATGGAAACCCAGTGAGAGGCTCACAAGGCCTTCATGGAAAATATGTGGAGTAGATTGCAAAGCCACCGTCTCAGAAGGCTTTGAAGGATAGATTCATGGAAGCTCTTGGACGAGACAAGTGTCGGAGGGTCGAAAAGATCCTGTGCAAGTATTCTCAAGTATTTCAGTGGTCACATAATTCTATCTAGAGTTGGAAGGTGCTTGATATTTAACAGCTGAGTGATTCATGTGAAAAATGTTTTGTATTTGAGCAAATGTTACGAGGTCATTTGTACTTGCAGATAAAAAATCTGTTAAATGGGTTTTATGAATGTGCACCCACACACACACATATTTTTCTCTTGACCCAAAAAGCAAATTCTTTAATCCTCCAGATACCCTTCTGCTATTTCGAGCTACTCAGAGAGGAAACAGGGTTAGTTTGTGTGTGCGTGTGTGTCTGTGTCTGATCCAGTGCCCCTGTGACTGTAGTCATAGTGTTCAGAGCATGGGAACTCAGTGACATTAATCAGAGGACAAACCACAGAACAGATCTTTGTATTATTACAATATTTATAAAAACACAACACAGGTTGTGTCTGTGTTGCTCTGTAACAGAACTTTCAGACATTAACAGAAAGAAAAGTGAAACAAATATGATGCTGCATTGATCCAAATTAAATTCCTTTTTAACATCCCTGTCAGCACCATGTTCTTTTTGTGAGTGCGCACATAAAATAGACAGGACTTGTAGTGAATGAATTTCAACTGCATTTTGTCCCATCCCTTTACAACCATTTGACAATGTAGCAGTGTTCACCAGAATCTGAACTTTGTTGGACATCTGTAAACAGCTCACACAGTGACCACTGGTCTTCAGACTGGGTTACGATGTCTCCCTCAAATTCACAAAGAGAATTCTCAGAAAGTGTTTTAAGTTCATTTGGTTTAGCCCCTGCAACTATAATCGTCTCATTTCTTTCTTGATAAAAAGGTTCAAAGAATGTCAATAACATTGAATCAATGTTATGTCAAACATCAAATACCCAAAGGGTTTTAATATTTAGTTACTGACTCAATTTAAAATACATTTCAGGACATTCATTTCACCTAATGTAAATGCTGAAGCAATATTTTCAACGACTCCTCCAGCTGAATGTTTTAGTACATTCCAACAGCGTCAAGGTTTTCTTCATGGTTCTTTAACAAGTCTCATTATGTGCAGCCTATTCTCTCTGTGACTCACTGACATAAACACTTGTAAACAGTTTATGAACGCCTGTGCTTGTCCAACCGAAAGAATGCTAACCTTTCACGTGCGGCTATCTTTCATGATTTTTCATAAAACAAATATGATTTGTCACATCCTGGACTCCTTTCCTCTTGGAATCTCTGGCAAAACTCAAACCTTAACATAAATAATGGTGTCTTTAAAATTGCCCGAATTATTTGTCCGATGTTCTCTCAGAATGGATTTTAATGTGGGATACCGTGATCATGTTTTGTTCGCCTTGATTCTGATGTGATTCTTTGCCTCCTAAATTTGCCACATCTGATTTTTCATCAGTTGCAGAAAGTCCTGGCACCAAAATATTAAGTTGATTTTAATGTTAAACCACTGATGCAACCTTTCTCTGATGAAAGCATAGCGATTAGCATATATGTTCAAAATGAGAAGCTACTCCCTGAGAGCAGAAGGGTAACATAGAGGAGCATATTAGATTTGTTACCTTTAGAGTTTGGTGTCAGAACAGAGTTAATCACTAGTGAAACCAGATAATTTTTCACATCCACACACTTACATTTGCACAATATGCACAATATGCATTGAAAGGATCACAAGTTAGAGCCCACTGATGAAGTGACATAATATGAAACATAATTTTTTATCAGTGATGGTACTGTGCACTGGCAAAAGAAGAGTTAAAGTGAATGATGTAGTCAGTGTAGACGATGCTTGCTGCAAAGTCTGGGAAAGGGTGTGTATCAGTGAGGTCTGACAAAGATGTTATTTGCATTTTCTGCCTCGTGACACATTTGCAATGATTTTTTCTTAAATGTTTAAAACCTGAATTGCTCATGTTGTTCATGTTATCTAGCTTGCAGTGTGAGTGTTGGTTTCTTTCTTGTTTGACCCCTTGCTGTGTTAATCGGTTCATCAGGTTACATCAGCTGTGTGACCAGTAACTCCACGAGGTACTGATCACACATGCAGCTGACGTAACTATGTTGGAAGAGTTTCACAGATATTACAGGTGGGACCTAGTGGGGTTGCCATCATGTATTTTATGTGTGCATATGTCGACATGACGACAACATGACGACCAGGTGACTGTGTGTAGATTATATTTGGGTGAAGTTTGTTGGTGATAAACAAGAGCAGAGTTAAAACAATAAGACGCTCTTGTACATAAGTATTCACATTTAAATATGGAAGTTGTCTGACAAATTTTGGAGAACCTGTAAGGAGCTGCCTTTGTGTCCATGTCAGTGTATATCCACCTGCTCTCCTGGTTAAAGAGAGCTATTTAATCCTTTAAAGTAAGTCTGATCTTCAGTGGAGTGTAAATGACAGAGTAGCTCAGGGTTAACTACCTTCTTGTTTTTTAATGGTGCAGGGTTGGAAGCTGGAGTTGTAAGCAGTTTGGTTATTATGTGTATCTGTAGAGTTTGTCGTGCTATAGTTCCGATTTTCCAAGAGAGACTTGTTTGTCATTATTCTTGTAAATGTACAGAATTGAATTCAAACATCATGGGTGTCCTTATCTGAACTAAATATAGTCAGACAAAATGAAGGATTGTTTTCCTTTTCTCTCTATCTCTACTTCCTCAGTTGGTGATAAGGTTCCAGCCGATATCAGGCTGACGTCCATCCGTTCCACCACTTTGAGGGTGGACCAGTCCATTCTGACGGGGGAGTCAGTGTCAGTCCTCAAACACACAGACCCTGTACCAGACCCCCGAGCTGTTAACCAGGACAAGAAGAACATGCTCTTCTCTGTGAGTCTCAACCTCCAAATCTGTTAAAGGTCCAGTGTGTAAGATTTAGGTGAAAGGGAACTGTTGGCAGAAACTTAATGTAGAATAATCGTCATGATGTTTTCACTAGTTTGTTTCATCTAAATTATATGAATTGTAGTTTTCTTTACCCCAGAAAAGTCCCTTTATATTTAAATACTTTATATTTACATTGAGGGGGTCCTCTCTACTGAGGCCGCCATGTTTTTTACATTAGTCCAGACTGGACAAACTAAACACCTTTTGAATTTTTATGACAACTGAAGCTACCACAGGTTCTTTTTCATGTTTGGAAGGAGAGGGTGAGGTGAGGGGTGTTCAGCTGCAAAATGCAATTTCAACACTAGATATCACAAAATTCTACACACTGTACCTTTAAATGTTTTTTTTGACTTGATCCTACACACCTCCATGCTGTGTTGTTCCTCTGCTGAACATGATAAATCCTAAATAAAGGCCTAATTTCTTCCTGTTTGAGGGGCATGAATATAAAGATCAGTGGCCAGCTGTTTATTAAATTGTCTTTTTGTGCGTTGCATCTGCTGTAAGATCTAATGAGCTTGAGGCTGAGAGCCACATAATGAATAAGAAAGTCATATTGTTGGTGTTGAATTTCTTTGTACTTTGTTCCTCTTGTGTAGTAAGTCTCTCCACCTCAGATCGTTATTTTCAATAGAGTATATTTATTGCATACTTAGTGAGGCAGCAATCACTTAACACCTGAGGGCTCCAGGATAATAAACAGCATGTATCTGCTCACATTACCTTCTTTTACTACTCATTGTACTCACAGCTACTCTAAAAAAAAACAGTTAAATAAAAACAACGTGCAAAAAACACTGGAATCAACAGAAAAAAAGTGCCACACATTTAAAAATATAAGTAAAGTATAATCCCAGCCAATTGTATATTTCATGAATCAGCTGGCGACATCCATTTGTTATGGAACAATATGTTTTTGTGTTGTTTCTCAGTCAATCTCAGAAATGCCTTGAGTTATATACTTACTCATTCCACAAATGACTGTATGTCTGTCTGTCTGTCATATGCTAATTGTTTCATTCACATTTCTTAAGGATCAAATAATGATATTTTATATCAACCATTTTTTTTATATCCAAAAGGTCAAATGTCAACTTAACTATGACATTATTCAGCCAAGTTATTCTGCCAAAACATTATTGTACAGATACTGATTGGTGACGCTAATGTTGGTGACCACCTTGTAACTGTGGTTATTATTTCGATCTTCTGTGCTGCTGCACTAAAGTTGTGTGTGAAAGCATCCACGTTTAACATTTTAGCTTCTTTGTATCAACATGCATGTATGAAGCAGTATCTACTGTCCTGACTACAACATTGTTCTCTATCAGAATCAGCTTTTATTGACCAAGCCTGTGAATATAAGGAATATGACTTATTTTGGATGAGGAAAATGTAATTCCTTCAAAGTCTTCTAAAGGCAGACATGTATGCAAGCTACACCTTGACTGGTGCAGTTTCTAGTTTATGCACTAAAGTAGCAAATCTAATATAGTATTCGAATTTTAATATAAAATATTTGTCATGATTTGCTGAGAGAGAAAAAAACTTTAAAATAATAATGAGAGCTATAAGCATCAAGAATTTTAGATTACAAATATTTACACTTAATGGCCTCCAGTATGTGTGTTGGATTCATGTTTTTAGAGGGAACATGACCATTATTTATTTTTTAATTCTCTGTCACACCTCAAAGGTAGCTGACTCACCAGGTGCTCTGTAGTCAGAGAACAACAGCCACTGATGTTTTATTTAGCACCATCACTCCGACAGGTTGTCTTTGCCGCTGAACTGAGTGTGACGTCACACAGCGATAGGAAGGAAACATGTAAGAACCTGTGTTAAAGCAGAGGAGGAAATCAGCACACTGAGATGTCACTAAATAACAGCTTTATGTAAGCAGTACACAAGAGCATGCAAAACACACAGATCATTGCAAAATACATGGAGAAAATTACACAATTTAAACTGGCACTGATCGGGCTACTGGGTCAAATGTTATTGAAGTTATTCCTGTCATGACCTTTGCCCAGGGTACCAACATTGCAGCAGGGCGAGCCGTTGGTGTTGTCGTGGCGACAGGGGTGCAGACAGAGATTGGAAAGATCCGAGATGAGATGGCCTCCACTGATCCTGAGAGGACCCCACTGCAACAGAAACTCGACCAGTTTGGAGAGCAGCTGTCTAAGGTTAGTGCCTGTGTGTGTATTTTAGTGTCGAATTGTTGGTCTGATATAAACTTTGGAAATTGAAATGACATAAAATAAGATATGTCTTAGTATTTCAGCTGTTAACAATTGTCTTGGTCTAACCCTGCAGGTTATCAGTGTGATCTGTGTGGCAGTGTGGGCCATCAATGTAGGACATTTTAATGACCCAGTGCATGGAGGCAGCTGGCTGAGAGGAGCTGTTTACTACTTCAAGATTGCTGTTGCACTGGCTGTTGCTGCCATACCAGAAGGTCAAACATCTTATCTATCCATGCAAAGAATGAAACACTTCTTCCTCTTTAAATAACCTAAGATTTGCCTTTGATTAAGTCACAAAAAAACAACTACTTTAGAGGGGAAGCTCTGAGTTCTGTCTCATCACAATCCTCTAACCTGTTGTGTTTCCTCCCAGGCCTCCCTGCAGTCATTACTACCTGCCTGGCACTGGGCACCAGGAGGATGGCCAGGAAAAACGCAATCGTCCGCAGCCTGCCATCAGTGGAAACACTGGGTTGTACCTCTGTTATCTGCTCTGACAAAACAGGAACACTGACCACCAACCAGATGTCCGTCTTCAGGGTGAGAAAACATCAGACTGATGAATATGGACCTGACATCCACTTTGTGTTAAAATTACCATATGGTCTAGACAGCCTCATTTAACTCTTATATGGCTATAAGTATAGTTGAGCATGACATTTGACTCTGTTGTAGTACTGAGGAATATATGGGGCTCACTGGTGCCCTGGAAATGTACATTATACTGCATTTATTAGGTAAACAAGGAGGAGGTGTTCAGCTGGTTCAAAGAATTATTCCTGTTACCTAATGTGTTCCAGTTTTAAGTTGCTGTTTATTGAAACCATAGACTGTAAATAAAGATGGACGACACATCTACACTTCCTCCCGTTCAAACAGAAACAGGTGCCGGCACTCAGGAGGTAAAGTAGATTGTCCACTTACTGCAACGTTGGTGGTTCAATCCCCAGCTCCTCCAGTCTCAATGCCAAAGTGTCGTTGGCCAAGACACTTAAACCCAATTGCTCCTGACATCAGTGCCAACAGTGTCTGAATATTACGTAGTAGAAAGTACTGTACATTTTAATTTGGCCCTTTGTGTTTGGTCCATGTTCGATCCACCATCATGGATGAGGCAGCTTTAATGACACATACTGCAGACAGCCGGCAGGATAAAGATAATTTGGCCTCAATTCTGGGAGCTGTCATGTCATCCATCTTTATATAGAGTCTATACGCTTTCAGACATGAACTCCAGAGGAAGTTCGGGGACTTTGCTCGCTGTGAATCCTGTTGAGGATCTCCTGCTGTGTTCTCACATAGGCTCCTCCTGAATTTATCAGTCTTAATACGATGGGGCTGGCTGAAGTAAGTCCACAGAAAGTCTGGAGGCCATCATTCGGACATTTGCGTTTATATATACAGGCCCCACGGAAAATGTCTGGAGGATCTCTGGAGTTCAGTGCATGTCTGAAAGCAGCTCGAAAAGCGAACTCACTACTGTCTCCATTATGTTTTGGTAAATGCACATTAATGTACATTTCCAATTGCAATAAGATGTGTACCATAACTATGTAAAGTTTAACATTTAACCAACACTAAATCTCCAGGAAGTAACCCTCAAATGTAATATTGGATGGAATAACCTGTAATATGAAACTAACCTCAAATGTGATTTCCTAACATTACTGTGCATCTGCGTGTGTGTTTAGATATTTGTAGTGGACAGTGTGTCAGGGGAGAACTGCAGCCTGAGCGAGTTCACAGTGACTGGATCTACTTACGCCCCTGAAGGGGAAGTGTGAGTGTCCTTAAACTTTAACCCTAAACCCCTGACAGTTAGTGGATGTTGGATACATATGGATTACTAACACAAGCATTCATAACCTTCCAATTAATCTCTGCTTTGCCTTTCAAATAACCTGCATACATTGGTCTTTTCCCTGAGTATTCCCTTGTCCGTCTGGATCTGTCACATTCCCTACTTTTTTTGTTCCCAGTTACAAAAATGGCTCAGTGGTCAAGTGCAGTCAGTACGAAGGCCTGGTGGAGATGGCCTCCATCTGTGCACTGTGCAATGACTCCTCACTGGACTTCAATGAAGTACGAAAACAAACGACTCGCACCATCATTGATAACCATATATGGTTTTGAAACATTAACAACTGCATACCGATTTTAATTACGTGTTACCACGAATGCAGTCTTAAAGTGGTGTGTTGTGTGTGTTTGTTCCAGGCAAAGGGAGTGTACGAGAAGGTTGGGGAGGCAACAGAGACTGCCCTCTGCTGCCTGGTGGAGAAAATGAACGTGTTTGACACTGACTTGAGAAGACTAAGTCCTGCTGAGAGAGCTACAGCGTGCTGCTCTGTAAGTGTGTGTGCGCGTGTCCATCTATAGTTATGAGGGCCACTTTTGGTTCAATTCTATCATTTTGGCTGGTCCTCACAAATTCAATGGGCTGTTTGAGGGTTAAGACTCGGTTTTAGGGACAGGGTTAAGATTAGGTTTAGGTGAGGATTAGGCATTTAGTTGTGATCACTAAGCTTAGGTTAAGGGGCTAGGGAATGCATTATGCCAATGGGTGTCTTGACAACTATAGAGAGGTGTGTGTGTGTTTGTGAGAAAGAAAGAGAGAGAGACAGAGAGAGAGATGTCTGTGCTAAGTTAAATAAAGTGCAGGGATCTTTTATACAGGACTTTTATACGGGACATGTTCATCACTTTGTACCTTCTTGTCAGTCTTATATCTACTCACCTGTGAGACCATTGACCCAGTGTTGACCAATGAAAAGTAGTTTATACTCTGTAGACCTGGTTCTCTGTTAGCTCTCTTTCAAAGTAACTACAGCAAAGATGTCTTTGGCGCTGTTGCCAGGTGATTGCTCATGTGGGAATGTTGGGTCTCTGTAGATAACTTCTGTTTTTTTACTTTGCACTTTGTGTTCAGGTGATTAAGCAGCTGATGAGGAAGGAGTTAACACTTGAATTCTCTAGAGACAGAAAGTCCATGTCTGTCTTCTGTTCATCAAATAAACTCACCAAGTCTACCTCTGGAAACAAGATGTTTGTGAAGGTCAGTCACACCACTCGCCACTATCACTGTGGTTATACGGAGGATGTTACATATCTCCATCATGTCTTATTTTTTTCCCGGTCTCTCTTCAGGGAGCTCCAGAGAGCGTGCTGGAACGTTGTACTCATATCCGGGTCAGCGGTTCTGCTCGTGTGCCTTTAAGCCCGGCAGTTCGAGAGCAGCTCCTGACCACTGTGCGGGAGTGGGGGTCAGGCCGGGACACACTGCGTTGTCTTGCTATGGCAACCCGAGACACACCCCCGGACATCCATTGTCTCAACCTGGAGAACTCAGCTGTCTTTGCTGAATATGAGGTGATGATGATGATGATGAGATATTTTTAAACATGGACCAGATAATGTGTCTCTAGCACAAAAATAGTTTGAATAATTTTTGAAGCTGAAATGAAGTTGGTCAGATGTTGAATGTGAATTGGAACCTCTCCTCTCATCGTCTTTTGTAGTTCTAGAAGCTTAACTAATTCTCTTTATCCCCCCCCCCCCTTCCTTGCACCCAAGTCGGACCTGACCTTTGTGGGCTGTGTGGGCATGTTGGACCCCCCTAGGAAAGAGGTGCTTGGTGCAGTCCGAATGTGTCGGCAGGCTGGCATACGAGTCATCATGATCACAGGTACAGCTGACATGTATCCACTTATAACCATACAGTGTGTGTGTGTGTGTGTGTGTGTGTGTGTGTGTGTGTGTGTGTGTGTGTGTGTGTGTGTGTGTGNGTGTGTGTGTGTGTGTGTGTGTGTGTGTGTGTGTGCAAAAACACACCTTTACTACCTGTGTGCCGACACATATAGTTTCGGTAGTATACCAGATAAGAGAATGACCACAGCTGTCCTGTATATGATTTACATCATGCGTAGGGATGATGGACTTTTCTAACTATTGTTGTTGTCATTAAATTGCAGTACTTTTTGTGTTCGCGTTGTCGATGGTCAAAAGGTCAAGGTCACTCACAAAGCACATTTTTGCCTTGTGAGTGCATAATATCTGAACATTGGCCACAGGTCAAAAGTCAAAGACACAGTGATGTCACGTTCCTGTGATTGTGATATATCAGGACTGGCCATAGAGAAATTCACTACATATTCACTTAGACTCACGGATGAGCTGAATTTTGGTCACTGTGGCCTCTCAAAATGACAACAACCAATCACAGTTTCCCACTTTTAATACAGAACATATTGACTTTTATGCTAACATGCCATGCTAGCTGTCCATGCAATGTGAAAATAAGTTTTACAACAAAATGAACACATATCAGGTTCACCAGCTTCCTCTGATGTTTGATGTTGGACAGAAGCTGTTTTTACATTATGTAATGTGATTAGCTCCTGCGCTTCTATAATTGCATATAAATGTAATTTGATTGATTTGATTGGCTGATGCCGGACTTAGAGCTATAATATAGGGGCCTTCATCAATGAACTAGTCTGAACTTTGTGCTTTGCTTGGAAAAGTCATCATTGTGTCTTAAAATGGTGTCAGTCCCTCTGCTGTGATTACATATTAACAAACCAATCCTAGTATTAATTTAACAACTCGCACACACTCTCTCTCTCTCTCTCTCCAGGTGACAACAAAGGGACAGCCCTGTCTATCTGTCGGAGGGTGGGGATCATCACGGAGCAGGAAGAGGAGCAGGAGGGTGCCGGGGTCATCGGATGCCTGACAGGACGGGAGTTTGATGAGCTGCCCCCCCACCTGCAGCGTCAGGCCTGCAGGACAGCACGGTGCTTCGCCAGGGTGGAGCCAGCACACAAGAGTCGTATAGTGGAGTATCTCCAGAGCCTGGATGACATCACTGCCATGGTGAGCTTCTGGCCTCACACTTAAGCATGTTGCTAACCTCTCCTGCAATATCCTTAAATTATCCTCCTTCGTCTTTCTCCTCTCTCGTGGGTTCAGACAGGTGACGGGGTGAATGACGCACCAGCACTGAAGAAGGCTGAGATCGGCATCGCTATGGGCAGCGGCACAGCCGTAGCTAAATCAGCCTCTGAGATGATCCTGGCTGATGACAACTTCTCTACTATTGTGGCGGCCGTGGAGGAAGGCAGAGCCATTTACAACAACATGAAACAGTTCATCAGATACCTTATTTCATCCAACATAGGAGAGGTGGTCTGGTAAGTAAGAAAAAAACAGTGAGATGACACAGAAAATGAATGATACTCTAAGACTGACAGCCATTTGTTTTATAGATAATTTGAACATCTCACTGTTTTTTCTCTTTCTTTCCTCTCAGTATTTTCCTGACAGCTGCTCTCGGTATGCCTGAAGCATTGATCCCAGTCCAGCTGTTATGGGTCAACCTGGTCACTGATGGTTTCCCAGCAACAGCTTTGGGCTTCAACCCTCCTGACCTGGACATCATGTCCCGCCCTCCTCGCTCCCACAAAGAGCCTCTCATCTCCAGCTGGTTGTTCTGTCGCTACCTTATCATTGGATGTGAGTCATGAGCCTGGGACAAAATTTAATCATCAAGTTATTATTATTGATGATTAATAGTACCCATACCCATTAGACCCATACTACAGTATCTAACCTGCAAGGTTACAAACCACATTGTGACTTATCATCCTTATCTGTAGGTTATGTGGGAGCAGCCACGGTTGGAGCTGCTGCCTGGTGGTTTATGGCAGCGCATGATGGACCAAAACTTTCCTTCTATCAGCTGGTAAACACATCTCCCCATCACTGCACCTACAGATACTCCTTATATACTGTTGTTAAATAGATACATTGTGGCTATGTCATAAACAGAGTGAGCAACTAAAACTGTCTTGCGACCATAAACATGGTATTACATGCATAAAAGTCTAATTACACTGGCAAAAAGAGTAGAGCTTCATTTTTATTTAAATATATTGATCAACTTGACAACCTTTTTAAAAATAAGACATTAAAGGTAAGATAACCTTTATACCTTTAAAGCTTATACCATGCTTGTAATTGGTAACATCTGCCTATTTATATGCTAAAACTGGATGTTAGGTCAATATTTAATTCCAAATCGTTATTATACCTGCATTTTAAGATATGTAGACAGGAAGATAATCTTAATAATTTATCAGAATGGAGAAAGCTCAAAAAAACGGTCCACTACAAATCTACACAGTCTGAAAGCAGCTACACTGCATTTTATAAAGTTTGTCTGGTTTTATCAACCACCACGTGCTTTACAGTTGCATTCACCCAATCACACACACATTCATACAGCGCTTCTACATGCAGTGCTTTTTCTATCACACCATTTGGGGTTTAGTGTGTTGTTGGAATGCAGACTTGAGATCACCTCGACGAGGATCAAACAAACACCTTTCTGGTTAGTGGACAACCCTCTCTACCTCCTGAGCCACAGCTGCACAACACTGTAGTAAACATTGTGAAGCTTTTCGCAGCTGAGATGCCAAATATTTCTCTCTGGAGGTAGTGGAGACCAAACACAGAGCTAAATAGAGAGATTACTGGACTTATGTTCACCAATTGGCCACAAACAACTCTAAAGGAATGTTAATGTGGCTCTGTGTTTGGTGGAAACTTTAGTAAGTCAGTTGTACCCACCGTGTCAATCTTATAAGATAATATTATTGGCATAGGTTTTAAGAATCGGTCAAAAGAGGGTGGTTTTGAGTGATATCCCATGGCAACGTGATGAAGAATTGTGACCAGGATCTAGTGGGATAAACTATTGCTCTAGTAGACAAGCTCTGTAATGAATAACTGCTCTGTAATAAATACAAACACAGGTGAACGTCTTGAAAGGTAAAAAGCTTAAAGACATGATTTAATCTGTTCTCTACCAAACTACTATTAAACTCTTATAGGGGAACTTAACAATAATTTCCAGTAGTTGAAAAATAATAATACAGTGGAAACCACTTATAGTGATCACATTTGTCCCAGGGCAAAATCAAGATCATTATATGCAGTTGATAACTATGAACGAATTGCGTAGCTTCTGTATGATAGTCCGAGGAACTTGAGGGAAAAGTAACATTGCAGACTCGCGAATGCGCACACACACACACACACACACACACACACACACACACACACACACTGACTCCGGTGCTCACTCTCAGACAGACTCAGCTGGCGTCTCTGACTCGCTACAGTTAAAACATTGATTTGTTTGAAATGACGCCACATTATCAACACTGATTACCTCATAATGATCAATACTTCTAGTAATGAGTAAAGTCTGTCTTCATAGCTGCACGCATTCATCAGCTTGTCCCGCTTGCTCTCTCTCTCTTTCTCTCTCACACTCACACTGACACAAACACACATACACAAACAGTGTCACTGGACACATGTGTAAACTCAGACAGGGTAAAAACAACAGAATCATGGAGAGCAGGAGGCGAAGGCGGGTAGCGCTTGGTTTGGCTCAATATCGTTGGGAGTTATCGTCAAAACATGTGTGAAAAGAACCAAAATTAACAATGTAAGCGGATTACTTGATCACCACAACCAAATAATTATGTCCCAAGCTTTTTAATCCATATAAACAGTTGATGATCACTATAAGCGGTTTACACTGTAGAGAATCTCCTCAAGCCTAGTTTAGAATTTCTGGTCTGACATTTATTGTTTCTTACTCGCCAGAATATATCTGATAGCGATTAGATATGTGAAAATTCAATATTAAATGTGTTGGTGTATCAGTTAGAACATAGTTAAGACGTGTGAACCTGCAGAATTATAAGTGAACAAAACGCAGCATTAGAGTATGTGCTGTGAATATTAGTCACCCTTTTGTTTCCTCCACAGTCCCACTACCTGCAGTGCACTGAAGGCCATGTGGAGTTTGCTGGTGTGCAGTGCTCGGTCTTTGAGTCTCCATATCCCATGACTATGGCTCTGTCTGTCTTGGTCACCATAGAGATGTGCAACGCCTTGAACAGGTTATAACGAACAAACACACCCTCACTCATTCTGAATTTCATATCCTACACTGCTGTCCCATATTAAATATGAAACATCTTTTTTCTAAACTCTAAAGTGACTGAAGAAAACCTTTAAGCTGTAAAAGTAATATTTTTCTGCTTTTCTTATGCTTTCTAGTCTTTCAGAAAACCAGTCCCTGATGAAAATGCCTCCCTGGTCAAACCCATGGCTGGTGGGGGCAATCTGTCTGTCCATGGCCTTACACTTCCTCATTCTTTATGTTGACCCACTGCCGGTAACTATACATGCATGTACTGTATGTGTCTGAAACCACATTTACTCCTGCATTATAATGTCTTTTGGTAATAGGGTAGAGCTTGGCCACATGACAGCACAGGTGTAAATGCACACAAGGCACATTGAGGACAGATTGTGATCTGGTGGATCAGAACACCTCCAGTGGTGTGCAGACATTGTGATCACATGCAAATGTGTTGTTAATCAACATACAACTACATGGACACTGTACCAAAACACGTGAGAAAGCAGTAACTGGGCAGCTCGCAGACATTAGCAAGTAAACACAGAATGCAGTCATCTGCTCAGTCTTCACATTACTCAAGACACCTGGATGTGGTGAAGACGAGATGAAAACACAGCTTTACAATCAGAGCTCAATGTGGACATGGAACCAGATGTAAATGTGATCCTAAAAGAATCCCATCTATATACAGTCTAGAAATTAAAAACACGTTTTAAAGCATCATAAACTGAATCTTAAATGTCAATTTATAGTCTCTTGATATGAATTTTTACATCCACTCATGTAATGGTGGCATGTATCACACATAAAACATCTAACACACAGGGCTTATTTATTCACCCTTCTGTATGTGTGTGTTTGCAGGTGATATTCCAGATACGTCCTCTGTCTTGGCCTCAGTGGGTGGTGGTGTTAAAGATGTCACTTCCTGTCATTTTCATGGACGAGGCCCTCAAGTTCCTGGCACGCAACTATATTGAGCCGGGAAACCAGGTCTGAGGACATGCTTGAAAATGTTGATGTGCAGTAGTGTTAATTATATGACTCTTAAGTGCTTTGTGTCTAATCTTTCCCTTGTTCTAATCTGTTACTCAAAAAGACAATGGAAGAGGAAGAGGAGCTACAGGCAACAAGGGCTAATGGGGGATTGTTCAATGCCATGATGACAAGGCTACGCCAGTCATTGAGGGATGTGTCCTGGTCCTTCGTCCTGATCGCTACGCCACTAGTGATCTGGATCTTCAGCCTGGACTCTGACATCACTAACATCTTCTGGGAGTAATGTGAGAAAGAGATGACAGGTGGACTGTGGTGGGGGAGGCAGTGAAAGACAGGAGGCTGAAAAAGGAAAAAGAAAAGCTAAATAAGGATTATTGGGCAAAATTGTTTTGATGTGAAAGGGTTAAGCAAAGTGGAAGAGAAAAAGACATGAAACCTATTTGAGATTAATTAAGGTAAGAAGTGTTTTTAGCCAGAAGACAATCAGAAAAAGAAAGTGCAAGGCAGTGTCAGACCATCACCTGCTATGAATATGTGCTATGTGTAGCTAATTGTCTCTCTCAATCTTGTGATCACATTTACTCTGACTGTGCTTACACCTGCTCCCCATTTTCCTGACTTAGGCATACACATGTTGGTCAGTTGGTCCAAATCAGCCTTGGGTTCAGAGTTAATTGTCTCTGGGACTGAATACCTCTACTAAAAAACCATGGTACCTCAGTTGTACTTTTATGTTAGCATAGCATACTAATCTACTAATTTCCACACTCTTAAGATTCTAAAGAATGTGGGATAGAAATTAGCAAGTTAGCATGTTAGTTTGTTTGTTTGAAACAAAACCTGACATCTGTCTGTCTGCCTTAAAGTCAGCATAGACTTCCCGCCATAAATGGACGCAGGGACACACAGTGTAAAATTTGATGTAGATCATCAGTTAATCAACTTTTTTGACTTTTTTGTTGCATATTGTCTTCCAAGGAGTTTGATTTGAAACACATAGTTTAATTTGACTTGTGTTTAGAGACCTGGATGTGGTAGGTGGATGACAACTAATTTCTTAGTAACAACCAATGGCTGTATATAAAGATAGAAGACACATCTCCACTTCCTCCCCACTCAGCGTTGCCAAATAGGAAATGTTGAAGTATCCTACGCAGAAGTCTAAAGTTATCATATTTTGAGGACAATTATCGTACGGGACCAGAGTTGGGATGGGACGCTCAATACCGATAATTCGAAGCTATGTCAAGATTGCTGAATCGATCCTTTTCAAGGCACAAGGCTCTTATTTTGAAACATGACACAGGAAGGACTTGTAATAAAGTGCGAAATGCGAGTCACCCCGTCAGGACATGACGGTGACATTCATCATCACCAGAATGATTGGCTGAAAAGACATCATGTGAGAAGAGATGCGTAAATTAAGATGTGGGGGTCCATATCCACGTTCAACAGCACGACATTCATGATTTGCAGGAAAGAGGGAAGAAATGTGTAAACAAAGACGTGATCCATATTTACTATCCAGATTACAACTGGCAATAGTGTCACAAAATGATGATGAATGATTATCGTCCATGATGCATTATTGATTGATTGTGCAGTGGGCAAAATTATCACACAAATACAAGAATCATCGTACATCTGGCAACACTGTCCCCGCTGTACAGAAATGAATATATTGGAGATGGGCATCGCCATAAATGAATGCTTGAAATTAATTTGACTTGTGCTTTTATGACTTATACTGCAGCCAGCCACAAGGAGGCGATGGTGATGTTTTGTCTTCACATTTGCAAGCTGTGATGTTGTCCCTCTTTATGTACCGTCATTGGAAACTACTTGCTATACATTACAACAACAGTGCTTGTAACTAGCACTGTTGTTATATGTTAACTGTAAAAATATGAGATTTGTTTTAACTAGCAGAGGCTTAAGTAATGTGTTGCTGAGAAGCATCAGAAAGTCATTGTAGCGTCACTTGCTATATTTTAGCATATATTGGCATAATGTTGAGATCTGTGAAATCTACTTTTTAAGTCGTCTCAATTTACATATTAATTTAAAATACATTTAGTGTTTTGTTAAGTGTAGAATCTGATTTGTCGACCTAATCCCTTTACCTCGTCGAAATAGGTCTTTTATTAGCAAGCAAATTTTGTCAGGTTGCTTGGTGAGCTCAGTTACCTAGGCAGATGTTCCACCTGGCAATTCGTAGGTGTAAATATTTCATAATACGTTTTAATTTTGTGATGTGTAAGATTTCACTTCGAGAAAATATATGTTATGACAAGGCTAAATTTGACTTCAAGAGCTGATACTAGAGACCTCTTAAGAGGTAAATGTAACCGGTTATTCTAAATGAAAGGCAAGAGCAAAGATGAGAAGAATCATTTGGAATTGTTTATTTCCTCTGAACCAAACAACATGTTCATGGCTTCATGATGGTTTTAATGCTGCACATAGCACCTTTCACATGAAAAGTTGAAAAGTGAGTGGAGTGGATTAGATAGATGGCAGGCAGAAGCACTGAGTCGTCCACAGTCTCAAGTGTATACACACACCAGCTTTACAGACACACTGTTATTCACCAGTAATAAGATGTGGTCAGCAACAGGTGATGAAGGCAGATGTACAGTAGAGCCCCCAGCTGGCCATTCTAATACTACTGCAATGTAAAATATTCAGTCACCTCTACACAGTAAATGAGACTAAAACATGCTCTTAACCTCTGAGGGAAGACTGTTAGCAGGATGCATGTCAGTGCACGTTACGTTACACACTTTTAATATGTTACAGTGGAGAGGAAGATGAGCCACTGACTCTGTGACTGATTCTGAAGATGATACATCAAATCTAAAAGGGATTCACACTTATAAGTCTGTATTGATTTCAGCAGTACACGTCACCATCCCATCTAAAACCTTACAGCCTAGTCCTTTAGAACTTTACTCTGAAGTTCAATATCCTCCACTGACTTGATTGTCTCTGATACTGAAAAGCTCTTAAGTCTTAAATGTTACTTGACGTGACCGGACACCCTGAGGCTTCACAGACTGAAGCTGGATTCAAGCCTTCACACCAGGATCATTGACATGAGCCTGTTTGATTTAAGTAGTTAAGAAGTGTTGATGGTGTTATTTATATTCATGATTAGACACAGTATATGTCGTTGTGTACTTCTAGGTACAGTCAGTGTAAAGGAACTGACTGCTACATATAATGTGTAAGCTAAATGGAATAATATGGTTCTTTATGTTAGGGCATTGAATATACTCTCACTACTCCAGTCCCCACTCAGTACCCTGCAACTTTTTGATTTCTTTACTACTTTTCTCCCCTTGCCTCTTAACCACAGACACTGCCTCTTTGTTAGTGTGCTGGACAGGATGCACTGCAAACTGTAACACTCAGATTCCCAGTGACACAGGGCCTGAAGCAGAGTGAGTGTGTTTTTTTTTTGTGTCTGCCATTTTCTCCAGTGATGTCGTTGTGACATCTCACTCTGTTTGCCATTGAAGGGATTTTTTCGGGGCTACTTTAAGCAAAAATATCTGTGATTTGTATAAAGTGTAAAGTCACAATATTCTAAGTTAAGAAGTCAAATTTTANAGACTCTTTGTTTTTACAGTTTATTTTTCTTTTGATTGAAACTTTGCTTCGGTAACTACAACTATTTTAATTACCGAAAACCATAAAAGACCTTTTCCACTTTTTGCTGACCACAGGTCTGCGTCTTTCTTGTTTCCTTGCTTGTTTGTTTCTCAATTTCTTGTCTAAAATTATTCTCTTGCAATACCATAAAAACTGCAACGTGCATTTGTTGCAGTAAATATTTCTTTTTGATATCAAGGCAGAAAAACACGTAGATCCAATTAATATTTATTTTCTACTTTTATTATTTAGGAATATCTTTTTCTGCAGGTGTATTATACCGTGATAGTCCAGCTCTGACAAATCTCCAGGGTACTAAGTTTGATTGCACTTGTTGACATTGATGAAAACGATGTGATGATGATGATGATGATGATGATTTCACCTCTGTCTTTAGAAGTAGCATGAGTTGAACGGAGAGTTTTTGAAGCAGAGTTCAGACTCCAGACTGCTTCAACTGCAAATGAAAGGTTGTTCTTGACTGACTTGCCTGCTGAAATAAAGGTTGAATTGAAGAGAGATCGAGACAGTTATTAGAGAAACAGCTTTCAAATATACTTCTCTTTTCTTTATTTCCACCTTGATTCCATATCTTCCTCTCTGCCTTCTCATCACCAACTATCCAACATTAACCCTGAAGCTGAACGAGGGAGCACTTCTTTTTTTTGTTCATGTTGAAGGTTGTCCCTGTTACTGTTGAAAGGTTTGTTGTCTTGGGAAATGCTGTTATGGAATGAAAACAATAAATAATAATTGTTAAGAAATAGTGTGTTGTAAATGTTTGGCCCATGAAACATGTACCACAATAGGTTCCCTAATAACATCAGTTAGAAGCTGCTAGTTGATTATAAATAAGGGCATTCTTTAATCACATGCATTTAGAGGGCGTGTTCCTGTGTATCTTATGTACTGTTCATACTGTCTTATAGCTTTTAGTGATGTAAATGTTTGTGGTTGCAGTATCTGACAATTCACAGCCAATTGTTCTGTCAGTTATAACTGGCAGTGGTGAAGGAAGTATTAAGATCGTTTAGTTAAGTAAAAGTACTAATTCCAAACTTTGAAAAAACTCCACTTCAAGTAGGAGACCAGCATTCAACACAGTACTTAAGTGAAAGTATATATTATCAGCAAATTGTACTATGAAAAGTAAAAGTTCTAATAGCGCGGTATAATGTTTGACTGTTCTATCTGATCTTTTTGGATTAATAGTACTGCTGTAGATGGAAAGGTTGAACTCATGTGAACTACATTATAGACTGTATATTGCTTCATCTACAGCACTGCATCAAAGTCTACAGGATCACACTTCATCTT